AAAGAAATCTGGAAGGGGGAGAGATAAGGAAACTTCCTTCTACATCTCTTCTGAAGGCGCTAGAGTTTCCTGATGCCAGCCTCAACAAAAATAGTCTCACTATGCTTTCCTCGTGAAGGCAGGACAAGCAGATGTCTCATTTTCTTCTATTACTTGTCAGGACTTGGATGGTTAAGGGTATGGAAGATAATTCTAGCTGGATTAAAAGGTTTGTACCTGGAAAATCTCTTGCTATAGTACTCTTCCTGTACACCCAAAGATGGTGGTCAGTACTCTTCCTAAATGCCTGGGTGTGAGGGAAGATGTACAATGACAAGGCAGGGTACAGTTCACTTTTACAAGACTTCTGGTAAGAAAAATGACAGCTGATAACAGAAAAGCAAGTTCATGTTGTTCCTTACTTAGGAACAATATCCGTCTACTGAAACATTTGCTTTATTTTGGCCCCTGCCACACGGCAGGGGAAAAGCCCTTTAAAGCGCGGCTTTTAAAAGCCGCGCCAATGTTGATACGGCTCGGCGGGATCCCACGATCCCCCGGCCGAGCCGCCTTTTCTCCCCGGCGCGATCAAACGCCGGAGAGAAAAGACGGCTCTAACCGGGAGCCGGCCGAACTGCGCATGCCTGAGCATGCGCAGTTCGTCTCCGGCCCGGGGATGTGCCGGCGCAAAGACGCGCCGGCGATCAGACACCCGGGAAGAGGCGCCTCGTCCATTTGAACCACCGAGGTAGGTGGTTCAGTTTGAGGCGCTTTTTCCCGGGAAAGGGACAGTTTGGCCACGGAAGCAAGACGCTTCCCAGATGTTGTGGTGTGATCGCGCCGGTTTGATCCGGCCCCAAACTGTCCCGTTCCCGGGCCAAATCGCCTCGTGTGAACGGGGCCTTTATGTGTTTTCTGATCTGTACCCCTGTATCCCAATAAACGACCCTGGTTAATTAGTGGTGTCAGTATTTAAAACCAACCTGGAGCTCACATTGCTCTAAGCACACAAAAGGATTGGCTGTCTGGATTTAGGGAGGATACAATTATGGAGGCACTAGGAATAAGTCCTGTTGTGGAAATAAATACGAGCTCTAGAAAGAGGCTCTGGGCAGGTGCCCCAGCCTCGGGCACTCAGCATCAATCTGCTGTGGCGACCTTAGCAGGGTATAATGACACAGAGGAAATGGCTGGTTTGAAGGGTAGAGTCTATGGCATTGTACCTGTCTGAGTTCCCACCCCTCCTCAAAACCCACCCCTCAAATTTCTGGGAATTTCCCAACCTGGAGGTGGCAACCCTATCTCCTTCCCAGCCAACTGTCAACCAACCATTATCTGCCCCTCTGACTTCACCTTTCCATCTCCTCCCCCCCCTCCCTGCAGCCTCTACCTAGGAAAAGTACAGTCTTTCTCCGCAATGGAGACCCAAGTGGGACGGAAGCGACCTCAGCAGGGTGTAATGACACAGAGTCCACCCTGCAAAGCAGTCATTTTCTCCAAGGGAACTCACCTCTGCCATCTGGAGAGCAGTTTTAATTCTGAGTGATCTTCAGCACTCACCTGGAGATTGACAGCAATGGTTCCCCAGGAGAAAATAACTGCTTTGGAGGGTGAATTCTATGGCATTCTATTCAGCTGAGGCCTCTCCCCTCCCCAAACTCTGGCTTCTGTAGACTCCACCACAAAATCTCCAGGAATTTCCCAACCTGGAGCTGGGAACCCTAGTCAGAACTGGCCCCAAAGAGTTCCCCACAAAGGCCAAAGTAGGCCTGGAAAGGGCTTCCTGCCCCTGCCTTTAAACTAACAAAATTAAGCTTGGTTGCCTAGCAAGAGCCATTGTGGGGAAAGTTAGACCCATAGCAGGAGGAGAAGAAAATGGTTTGATGGCCGGCAGCTCACCTCAGTAGCCAACCAGCTGCAGCGGAGCCAAGCAGGAGAAGCATATTCATCAGGAGAGACAGTCATTTTGGCAGTTTATTCTGACAGGGAAGAGTGGCCAAGCTGGCAGTGGGTGGGAGAGAGGAATGGACCCAGCCCCCAGCTAATGGCGCATGAGTACTCTTGAGTGGCGTTTGACAGGACAATGGCTGATGGAGTGCACAGCCAATGGGAGAGCTGGAAAGTGACAATATGCTACATCTTATATATATATCAGATTACTAAACTAGATTATATATCAGAGTAAAAGAAGCTAGTTGATAGCTCTGCCTCTGAAACTAAATTGACCTATCATGGCCAAAAGGTGAACCAAGTGTTTGTGCAGTGCTGGTATCTAGGGATGTGCACTTGGATATATTTGGTCTGCATATATACCCAAAAAAAGGCTTCACTGGTATTTTTGGTACATATTTGAGATCTGGACCAATATTTGGGATTCTGGGAATATCTGGAGCTGGGTTTTTTTTCAAGATTACAGCTTGGGTTTGGGGTTTTTTTTTTTTTTTTGCTGGTTTCCCAGGCAATAGGAAGGAGGGGGAAGGACACTCCTTGGGACGTTAGTGTGTGCTTGTGTAGGTGTTTTGCCATTACCAGGTCTGGCTGGCTGCCTTGGTACTAGGATTCTCTGGTTTGACATTGGTTCTACCAAATTGGCCCTGGGTTCTGCTTGGCTTCTGTGGTTTGATAGTGGCTCTGTTGGGCTGGAAACCGAGTTCCTTGCTTAAACTGGTTTGGCTTGGATTCTGTGGTTTACATTGGTTGTGCTGGGCTTGCCACATTAGCTTGTGATTCTGCTGGGGTTCCCTGGTTCTAAATTAGTTCTCTTGGGCTTATAGGTTTAGTTTGCACTGGGAGGCTTTTGGACCAGTAGTTGCTTGCTTTTTTGTGTTTGGCTATTGGCTTCTTTGCTCTGAAGAAAGCATGGATCTTTTTTCTAGAAAAGAAACAATGAAGGATGGCTGGGGGTACCTTGTTCAGGGACCCACAAAATTGGATCCCTTGATCCAGTCTACCTCAAACGTGGGGATTCTTTAGTGAAAAGGCAACACTAACTCTGTTGTGATTTTGCTGTCATTTGCTTGAAAAATAGCCCCTCAATCCCCTCCCCCCAAAGGTTCCCCATAGGGAATACTGGATCTGAATAATTTTGGAACTCTGAAAAAACCCCACCCTGAATCTGACTACCAAATTGGTTTTGGGGACCCAGATAACTTGAAATACTGTTATCTTTCCCAAAATTGGAAAAATATTTTCAGGTACACATACCTACTGTAGCTAGGAAAGAGAGCAAAACAATGCTGTGCCTGAATCTGCACAGGATCCAGATCATTATCTAAAATTACTTTTTAAAATGCCAGAAACAACTTTGAATTTACAGTATTTTTGATTCATAGAATGAATGAAAGGTATCACAAAACCTGTATGTAAAAAGAAAACAAGAAGGACGTGTATGCTGGAAAAATGTAATTTTTCTTTTAAGCCAATAAATAATTGTGAACCTCAAAATTGTATTTTAAAAGTTACAAATGTGCAAAGACTTTAGGAATAAGACACAGTCCATTTACTTTCAAAAACTGCTCGAATTTACAGCTTCAGATTTTTCAAGATAAAAGTACAGTAATGTGTTACATGACATATTTGGAAATGTAAGAAACAAGGCACAAAAGAAAAATATAGAAGTTTCAGAGAACACTTGGAACCCAAGTCATTCTGAGTAGTGTAAGAGGTCAACACAATAAGGCAAATTCTAAAGAAAATCCATTACACTATTAAATAATTTAATCACGTGAACATAATCCTTGGAAATACTGGTAGGTTGTGTTTTTTCTTTTCTTTTGGAAAGTGCTAAACATCCAAAAAGGATGTACCACTTGTAGTATAATGCCCACCCTCCATAAAATAATACTATAAAACCGCACAAGGAGTGTTCACTTTATAAAAAAGTCACTTAAATTTGCACAGAGTCCTTTTTCAAATGCAATTAAAATTAGCTACATGGAATTTCAGATAATGGAATGCTTCATAAACCATCAATGGAGGTCACTTTCAATAACATTTCTGATCTCCTCCTACCTCTGTTCCTCGATCTGCTCTTAGTAGGAAACCCACAAAGTTAAGATGCAATCAGGTCCAGAAAAAAATGACATTCTATATAAATATTCATAGTGTACTGAACGTTACATAAAGCATTACAAAATCCAGCAAATGTACTGGGTGCTGCAAAGCTTTTGAAAAAGTATCCCACAGCAGATTTCCTTAACATACTAAGACAGTAATTAAAGTAAGGCTTTGGTTAACCAAAAAAAGGCAGTGGTGTGAAGAGTTACATACAGGTATCCACTGTATAGGATTTCCCAGGCAAGACAGACAAGTAATTGCCTCAACTTTGTCTGCATTCGCTTCTCCTTGTACAAGCCACGACAAGAATCTTTTCAACAAAGGAAGGTCAATACCTGCATCATGAAGCTACCAAAACCTTACGCCTTGTGGGAATGAAATAAATGTGACTATGCCCGGGCTTTAAGCAAAAAAACAGAGCTTCTTTACAGAGGCTTCAGAACTAGAAGCCATCAGTTCTAATAACCACTTACTTCTTCCAGTCTCTGTGTTTCAAACAGAAGACGTTTGACAACAATCCAGCTGGCTGCAGAATGTTCAGTTACAAGTAAATGTACACACATTGCATCACTCTTTTTTTTAAAGTGCGTAACGTTGGTCCATCTTTTTCTTCTTCTTTTTTTGAAAAAAAGCTTAGTTAATATATTAAGACCAAACTCTTTGCCCTGTGAAGATACGCAGTACCTTATTTGATTATAATTTAATAATTTGGGACAAAGCCCCACAGAGTCTCTACAGAATAGAAGGATACCTTGGTAATTAGATTCAGGTGGGGTAGCCGTATTGGTCTGAAGCAGCAGAACAAAAGCTTGAGTCCAGTGGCACTTTTTAGACCAACAAGATTTTATGCGAGGTAGAAGCTTTTGTGTGCACGCACACTTCCTCAGATACAGATACTGTTTCGCTGTATATGAAGAAGTGTGCTTGCACACAAAAGCTTATACCTTGCATAAAACTTTGTCAGTTTTAAAGGTGCCACTGGACTCAAGCTTTGTTTTGGTAATTAGAGTTTCACAGTCACAACACAGGCCCCTGCTCTTCCTAGGCACAACGGTGCAACCTGTAAGGATAAAAAAGAAACAGGCCAGTCACACATTTATTATACAGACTGGTTACAGATTTAAAAGCATTTTGTGAAACTGTAAGAATTCTCCCCCTCCCCTAGCGCACTTCAAATACTGCTTAACTTGGGCACAGCCCAAGAACCCTTTTTACAAGGCCAGGGCTCAGTTCTGGAAATGATGAAGTAGAATATTCTGCATGTGTACTAAATGTCACCTGCTGCAAGACGAAGCCTCCAACACCGGCTAGCACCTTTTGCATAAGCTAGCCCTGTTATGCTAGAATATAAAAGAATATTGATAGATGGTGCTTGTCCTACCAAATGGTCTCTAGTCAAGTGGACAAAAAATACCCCCCAGCCAGTAGCTTATGCAGCTAGAACAGGAATTGCATTCAAGTTTAAATTTCAGTAACGCTTCCAAGAGAGCAGTCTTGGAAATTTGGTCTCCGGTGTCGTGAAACAGCTGGAAATATTGCTTGGTACACCTTACCTAAATGAGAAGGAAAGCCATTCTGAATTTCCCAGAGTGCATTGGTGTCATAACTATGTAGCCATAGCCAGCCTTCACAAACAGATTAAGTGAGAGGAGGGCTGCGTCCTAGGTTGCCATTTTGCCAGCATGACTGTTAGGCTAGCGGACTGCCACTCCTGTCTGCAGAGAAAGGGGGTGGCAATTTCCACTGGCTTCCTCCTTCAAATGCAGGTCCCCCCCCCCCTTTGCCACCACACTGCTCCGAAGGGTCCCTTCACTCCCAAGGAGCAGAACTGGGGAGGGAACTCTGTGGGCCGCAGAGTAGGGAAGTCCTGCTCTGCCGGCTTCATTCTATGACTGTTACATAGAATCCAACTCAAGAGTTTCCCGGTCACAGAACGTGGCTTCTAGGAAAGCACTAATCCTAGCACTTTTCATTACATAAATTAAACGCAGGTTTTGGTTCTTCTGTTTCTTCTAGGAAATCCTGAATGAAAAGATACAGATGCTTTTGCACCGAGAGGAACAGACATCTGAGAGATTGCTTAACCCCTCTGTAAACGGGGGCAGGGACCCCACTCCCAAGCAGACCAAACAAAACACTAGGGCAGTGATGGCAAACCTTTTAGAGACCGAGTGCCCAAACTGCGACCCAAAACCCACTTTTTTATCGCAAAGTGCCAACACGGCAATTTAACCAGAATATTGAGGTTTTACGTTAGAAAAAACAACTCATACGTTAACTTAAGATGATCCAGACAAAGTAAGGAAAGCAATCCCAAATGCTTTCATTGACTTAAAATTATTTGGCAGAGAATTTGACACTTTAATGATGGTCTGGGTCTGGCTGGGGTGATGGCACGCGTGCCTGCAGAGAGGGCTCTGAGTGCCACCTCTGGCACCCGTGCCATAGGTTCCTCACCACTGCACTAGGGAAACCTGCTTCCTGACCTTCTTCACACATGGCTTTGGCAACCCCAGTGAAAGGCAGACTTTCAAAAAAGGCTGATGTGACTTCTATAGAACAAGCATTTAAATGTACGATGCTACCCTGTTGGTCCATCGAGGCTAGTATAACTACCCTGATGGTTAGGGACCATCCAAGGTTTCAGACCATCCATTCAAAGATTGGCAAGACACTTACCAATCCTCCTGTCTCAGATCCTTTTAACTGGAGTGGCCACGAATTGCGTTTTTTGCATGCAAAGTAATAGCTGAGTTATGTATCTTTAAAGACAAACCAACACCACAAAACAAGCCAGATCTTCATACCTGCGTCCACTCATTTGTCTGTGGGTCATAGGATTCTACTGTGTTAAGGTATGTTTGCCCATCGTAGCCTCCAACTGCATACAGTTTGTCTCCAAGAAGACAGACTCCCACAGCATCTCTGCTAATGCTCATGGAAGCCACAGCAGTCCACACATCTGTTTTGGGGTCATATCTGGAAAAAACAATAAAGACAAACTGAATTGCCCCAAGATCTGACAAGAAAATACCACAGATGCAACTCTAGCCTTCATTTGTTTAACAGAGTTGAAGTTACCTGTAATTATTGTTCATCGCGTGGCCACCTGTGCAGTCCCACATGGGAACTGTTCAGGCCTACCACGGAGAGTTCTTTAAAGCTCAAAAAGTGCCTGGGGACATTCCATCCCCTTCCCCCATGCTATTTCCCACTTTTCCCAGTGTGATAAGGAGGGCGTGAAGCACCCTTCTCTCAGTTCCTCTCTGCCACCACTGGACTGAGTTATAGTTTAGTTAAGAGCTCACAGCGGAGAAAGGGAGAGAGATGTGTGACTGCACAGGTGACCACTTGATGAACAACAGTTACAAATAAGTGCAACCCCGTTTTCATCATCATGGCTTCTGTGCAAATGGATCTGGGAGAGCAGTGAGCTGATTTAGTAGTGTGAGGAAGACGGGTGTGAGTGTTGAACAGAGACGGCAGGACTGCTCTTCCCACTGCTGCATCTCTTGTGGCATCTATGTCCACTGAGTAATGCTTTGCTAAGGTGCGGGACAATGACAATGTTGCAGCTTTTCAGGTGGAGTCAATGGAAAGACCACTGTGAAAAGCAGCGGAGGCAGAGTGTGCCTGAGTGCAATGAGAGGGAAGCTGAAGCAAACAGTTCCTTACAAGGTGTTATTGGTCACCCACAAAGTTACACTATATTAATCCAGCTTTAAGTCCTACATGCTGGAAACAATATGATGAATCTGCTTCCTTATTTCACTGTTGGTGGGCCTGCAAACACATTGAACTGTTTCGGAACTTAGTTTTAGAATATATTTTTTATATCACAGGGGCCTCCCTTCCAATGCGGCCAGAACTTTTATCATCATTATGGCCTGAAGGCAGTATACCTAGGACAACTAAAATTTTAATAGAATCTTTATTAGCAGCTGGTTGAGCTGCAGTGGCTACAAGATGGAAAAACAGATCGCCCCCATTGATTTTGTTATGGTTGGACAAAATATGGAGATTCTATGTAATGGAAAAGATATCTTATCGCAATCAACAAAATGACAAAACGGAATCTAGTTCAGACTTTTTTTGCAGTTTGGCACCCGATGTTAAGTTACATGCTATCAATAGAAGATGTTCCCAGTTGTATCTACCCTACTGACCTGTTGCAGTTATAATTCACTTACTAAATATATAATCGAGAATTATTTCAATGTTTTTGTTGTATTGCCCAGTCAATCCTGGTTTTCTTTTTTCTGATACTGTTTTCTTACCATATATTGTTGAATAATGTTATTACTATGTTTTGATGTTTACAATTTTTTTTTTAAAAAAAAAGCTGCAGCAGACAGTCAACTTGTACTGGTTTATAACAAGAGTTTAATGCAGGTGACTCTCCACATGGAAATGGATTACACCAACAGCTTCTTGCCCAAATTGGGCCCTAACAAGGATGTGAAAAGGTTTTCTTTTCTAAAGGGGTTTGTTCTGTCCAGATAGGGAAAAAAAGTGCTCTATGCATGTCTAAGGAGTGGAGAGCTCATTCCCTGTCATCCTGTGGTAGTGGATATAACACTGGCAGGGTGATTGTCTTGGTTTATACGGAATCTGGATGTTACTTTAGAAAGAAACTGGAACAAAGTGCAAAGGACTACTCCAGTGCTGAATAGTTTTAGAAAGGGAGAATCATGTTGAAGCGCTTGGATCATGTTGAAGTACTTGGATCATGTTGAAGCACTGCACTGACCCTTGTGGCTGATGTGACAGCAATTGGGAACACCACTTTCATGGTGAGGAGACAAAAGGGGTAGGTAGCCATGGGGTCAAATGGTTTGCTCATGAGCATTGACAGCACAAGTAACAGGCTACACTGAGAGATTGGAAGAAATTGATTTAATAAGATTCCTATTAAGCAACCAAGGATCTCCCATCGATATGGATGTGGAAGCATGCTAGGATGGCTAGATGGATTCTTATGGAGGTGAACAAGAGTCCTTTCTGGACCAGGTTTAGGAGACAGTCAAAGACCTTTTTGAGCAGACATATGACAGGTTCTAAGTTTTGGTCCTTAGCCCATGCACAGGAACACTTCAACTTGGTGGAATAAGAGTGTCACTAAGGAGAGAGAGTAGTAGTGACAGACTTCACGTTCCTGGGATCCCAGATCACCACAGACTGTGACTGCAGCCATGAAATTCAAAGATGCCTGCTCCTTGGGAGGAAAGCGATGGCGACCCTAAACAGCATGATAAAAAGTGGAGACATCACCCTGCCGACAAAAGTCCGCATGGTCAAAGCAATGGTATTCCCAGTAGTCATGTATGGCGGCGAGAGTTGGACTATAAGGAAGGCCGAGCGCCGAAGAATAGATTCTTTTGAACTATGGTGCTGGAGAAGACTCTTGAGAGGCTCTTGGACTGCAAGAAGATCAAATCAGTCAATCCTAAAAGAAATCAACCCTGACTGTTCCCTGGAAGGCCAGATAATGAAACTGAAGCTCAAATACTTTGGCCACCCAATGACAAGGGAGCACTCACTGGAGAAGACCCTGATGCTGGGAAAGATTGAAGGTGAAAGAAGACGGGGACGGAAAAGGATGAGATGGTTAGACAGTGTCATAGATGCAACGAACATGAAATTGAGCAAATGTCAGAGGACGGCGGAAGACAGGAAGGCCTGGCGTGATCTGGTCCATGGGGTCGCGAAGAGTCGGACTCGACTGTGCGGCTGAACAACAACAAAGGAGAGAGAATAATTCTGATCCAGTTCCTCCCTCTCATTTTGCCTCTGACTCTGTTCATGGTTGTCTACTGACACAAGAGGACACAACTGGGGAGGGGGGCATAGGAGGTTGAAGTGGAAAGGGAGAGATGGGGAAGTTGCCTTTCATCTAGTGCAGACATTTCTAATTTTAGTCCTAAAAGGGGGAAAAAACCTGTACTGCACATTCTTGCTTGGGCTTTTTGGGACAACTGAAGCCAGCATCTTCTCCTTAAAGTTCTACTGGATTGTTACCTCTCTACACAGTCGGACAGTCGTGAGGTCAGTGAAGCCGGTGCATCATGGCCTCCAATAGCATAGAGGAACCCATTCCAGGTGGTTACTCCAACGCCTCCTCTTCGTTTTGACATTTGAGCACAAAGCATCCACTTGTTAGTATGAGGATCAAAGCATTCCACTGATTTGAGACAAGAGCTGCCATCTCGACCACCAACTGCATATAATCTATGAACACACATTAGGAATTTAATTAAGCGGTAATTTTAACCACATACAGTTATACAAAGAAAGGCGAGACTCATGCTGATACTGAATTAGATGGGTTATTTTTGTAGAGTGAAAACCATGAGAAGCCTAACACACTGAAATCTTCCTCAGGGGCAAGAGAATCAGATGTTCTTTTTTCTTCAAAGGAAACTCTCTCGGGATTCTCTCTCTGAAAGGATTTCTCTTGTCGTGTTCATTTTTTGATGTTGCTGGTTTTAGATGCTACCTATAATTTCTTGATAACAATGTCAGCCGTCATTCCCACTCATTAGGTAGTGCAGTTTGTCCTTTTCTGCTGCCCTAATTTGAGGCTAGATGCATTTATGGTTGCATTTATATTTAATTTATTTATTTCAACACAGCCCACCCTCCCCCATATAAAGGGATCAAGGCACGGAAGAACATTCCATACAATATTCGCAATCAGGTTAAAATTTAAAAACTTACAGAATAAAAATAAACTTAACAAGTTAACTGACAATTTACAGATGGTACATAAACAGCAAATTTAGTGTCCTGTTCCCTGTGATGGAAGGGGAAAGACGGAGCCAGGCTTGATGGGGAAAAATGCTGCAGTCCTCAACCATAGGCTTGATGGAACATCTCTGTAGAATTGTATTAGGTCCCTCAAGGTATGGATATCATTCAACAGAGAGTTCCACCGGACCGGCGCCACGGCCAAAAGAGCCCTGGCTCTGGTTGAGGACAGCTGGATGCTTTTTGGGCCAGCGATCACTAGTGAGTTCTTCTCACCTGAGCATAATGCTCTTTGGGGGATACGCCAGGAGAGACAGTCTCATAGATATGTTGGTCCCAGACCGTTTAGGGCCTTAAACGTTAATACCAGAACCTTGAACCTGATCCACTTTTCAACCTGGAGCTAGTGCAGCTGGCAAAGCACTGGCTGTATGTGTGCTGTTGATGGAGTTCCTGTAAGAACCTGTGCCACCACATTCTGGACCAGCTGTAGTTTCTGGGTCAGTCTCAAGGGTAGCCCTGTAGTCTAACCTGGAGGTGACTGTTGCATGGATCACTGTAGCCAGGTCGGGGTGAGACAGGAAGGGAGCCAGCTGCCTTATCTGACGCAACTGAAGAAATGCCATGTTTTGAAAAAGCTATTTACAAATTATCATTCCAATGAACAGGAAGAAATCTTTTCCGTTGAAAATATGAGCACATTCTAGGGGGTGGGGGTGCTAGAATGCTATTAGACCCTTGCCTACAAATGGAGGCTCAAGTCTCCTCTCTGGTGTGTAATACCCTTACCCAGCTTTGGCTCATGTGCTAGCTGGAGCTCTTCCTGTATCCACAGGATCTGTGTGTGGTTATTCTTGCCAGTCACATCTAGACTGGACTACTGCAATGAGTGTTATGTGGAGATGCTTTTGAAAACCATTCAGAAGCTTCAGTTGGCACAGAATACAGTAGCTAAACAGCTGACACACGAACTATCAAGAACCTATTGCTCCAGTTTCAAGGAAATTACTCTGATTGTTCATCCATTTATGGTGACAAAAGTGCTGGTTATTACCTTTAAAAACCTAAATCGTTTGAGACCAGAGTACTTTATGATTCCCTATTCCCATATGAGCCTACTCCCATCTGTATGCAGGCCCGCAGTGGTCACGGCGGAGTCCAAGGGGCGACGCCCCTCCCAAATCTGCCCTGCCCCTGTCCTTCTCTGACCCCAAAGGATCTGCCCCTGCCAGCTTGTGCTGAGCACAGCCGCAGCAGCCACAGCATGCAAGAGGAGCCTGGGGCACGTGGCGCTGCCTTGAGTGAGAAAGAGGAGGGGACCAACCACTGGAGCTCAACAGCTGGGAAGCCCACCCCACCCTGCCCCGGCACTTCACTGCACCTGTGCCAGGGCGGCAGGAGAGGAGCTCACTGCTGGTGGCATGTGACCTGGGGTGGGCTGGGTAGCGCAGGCTCAGTGAAGCACCAGGGAGGGCCATTGTGACAAGCCCCAGAGCAGGCTAGCCTGCCATGCTGCCCTGCCTGCCTCCTCTATGCCAGGACTGCCAGAGAGGGAGAAGGAGAGCCCGGCTCAGCCTAGTAAGTAACTAGTAGTAACCTGAATGGAGTGGCAAGGGAAACCCAGCATAACCCCCCCACATCAGAAGTGAGGTAAGCACGTCGGGGAAGTGTCTCGAACTGAAAATTTTCAGGCTACGGGGCTGTCTGTGTCCCCTCCTTTGAGAGCAAGGTAGTGGCCACTTAAGATAGGGTCTTTGTCGTAGGGGCTTCCTGATTCAGCTGTTCACCATCCTTATGGCTTAGTTTCAGACCCTGCTTTTAAATCACCTTATTTACCTAGGCATTTGATTGTGTTTGGCTGTTTGATTGGTTCCACTCCTCAACAAGTTTATAATAAACTGCCAACTATTTTTACAGGTTTTCGGTTTAAACAAGCTGCTACTGCTATTTGATTATGTTGTAAAAGTTGTATTTTATTGGTATTTGCTATTCCGGGCCCTGATGGAAAGTATCTGAATTTTTCAAACAAACGAACAAACACTCAAAAGATCACAAGATCAGAGAAATAAAAACATTTGGAGATGTTACAAAACAGAAAATAAAGAGGAAGGGTAGGGGTTTCCTACTAAAATAGTTGTTCTGACACTTCAAGGAAAAGATACCATTTCTCAGAAAAAATATAGTTTGTCTCCCTTATGTAAATTAAATGGTCTTTCCTTCTTTATAGTTTCTTATGCCAATATGTTATCAAAACTGTTCATGTTCCCATAACTTTTAAAACTGTTATCACCTATTAAATTTGCTGTTCAATATACATCTGTAGATTTGACTACATCACATCTGCTAGACATTTTGTATCACAATGAACCACGCAGAAGGCATTTTGCAGTCCTGAAGCCATTTAAGATCCAAGAAATGATAAGAATAAAATTAATAGGACAGCTTTTCTGATGTCTACTGAAAAAATTACCAGAAAACATGCACAGATAGCATTATCCTATTCCACAGCATTCCGTCATTCCACTAGTTCCGGTGTATGATTTTTTTTTCGCGACAAATACGTTACGAGATTCTGTGCAAAAAATTACAGGATAATTAATGTAATTATTTCTCTATTAAGTTGTACGTACTTTCCACTTAGTACCGCCACACCTACTGTACTCCTTGGAGTTGACATACTAGCCACAAAGTTCCACTGGCGTGCCTGTGGATCCCATCTTTCCACTGTGTTCAGGTAACTCCAGCCATCGTGCCCTCCTACAGCATACACAGGACCTTCCAACACAGCTACCCCTTAAAGCAAAACACACAGATGGTTTCCAAACGTGAAACTGATCTTCACCATCATAGATAGCAGCAACCTCCAAAATTTTTACTTTCAAGTAATTTTTTTATAGTAATTTATATGGGGAGAAAACCCTTAATGTTGTACGGAACTGTGACCGTGTTCTACACAGCCATCTCACATGGAGCACTGGCCATGACTACTGGGTGCTGCCTTCACTCGGTGTGAAGGATACTGTGCTTCAGAAAACTCATAGCCCCCTTGAAGCTCTGCGTCAGTGAAGATGACTGGATGAGGGTGGAGTAGGGGTGTGCATTCGGATCTACCTGAGACGAAAACATACCCGAAATACCTTATCTGTATTTTGGGGTTTATTTCAGATTTCCAAATGTATCCAGGGTTTCTCAGGAAAACTGGGGGGGGGGGGATTCAGAGAAAATCCCGGATATATTCAGGAATTTTGGGTAGATCTGAAAACAGTGGAGGGGCAGGAAAAGACTGCTCCCGCCTCTCAGCTGTTTGACAGCCAGGCTAATGCAGTTCCTTTAAACTTTAATAGCTGATAACTTCCTGCAGGCACAGCTCTGCACTGCCTTCTCCTACCACGGAGTTTAATCTGGGTGGCAAGAGAGGGCAGCCCAGCCAAGATCGGCTGTGCCCACGGGGAGCTGATCGCCCCCCACCAGCACAGCTCTACACTGCCTTCTCTTGCAGCTCGGTTTAAATCGGGCTGCAGGAGAGGCCAAGCCAGCCCCGGGATCGGGCTGGTATTTTTTACCGGTATGTTTTGATTTTGGACTATTGGATCCAAAAAATTTGGGGATTTCTGAAAGATCCTGGATCCGAATGCCATTTGGATCTGGGATTTTTATGAAATTCCAAAAATATTTCAGGTCCAATAGACTTGAACCGAAAAATACTGGTTAAAAAAAAAATTGCACACCCCTAGGGTGGACTGTCTTTCAGGGAAACTTGTGCACTGGAAAGGTCCTGTCACACATCGCTGCCTGTCAAACAGAAGGCACAAACAACAGGTCCTCACCAGGGTTAGGCACCGCCCATTTTTATCTTCTGCTGTAGGTTGCCTTAACTGATGAACAAGGTAGATTCTGCACCATATCCAGGTCAGAAGAAAAGAACACCACATGCTCCATTACCTTCTCCAAGAATGGAATATTAGACATTGGTCTATACCTGCCACAATTACTACAGTCAAGAACTGGCTTCTTCAAAAGTGGACAGCCTCCTTCAGTTTTCTGGAACCAATCCTTCTCTCAGAGAACAATCTCCATTGTCCAGCTACTTAGGATCACACTGGTCACATTAACTAGTCAGGAAGACCTTTACCTGGGCCCAGAAGGGAAATCTGACTGTTGGGCTGATAATTCCAAGGATCTTGACCACATGCTCAAGTTGCACAAGATTTAAATTATCAAACTAAACAAGACAAGTAGTAGCAACTTATGAACAATCACAGATCCACTCCCTCTAATGTGAGTAACTTGCATATCAGATCAGATGAAAGTGATCTTACCCACAAAATGCTTTGCAAAGAGGTCACTGAGGGTCAGGCTCCTGTCTTTCTCTCAAGATGATTCTGGAGTAAACTACCAAAAAAGAAGCTCTGCTGGCTGATGCTGTGTGGGATGTCATGGCTATAATAAAGCCTTTTTTGCCACCATCATTGCTATGGAGTAAACTCTAATATGCTCTCTAGCTCGCAATTTTAGGATTTGGTGCAAATATTCCCATCAACTTTTTTTATTATTGGGTTTTTGCGCAAGCTTGTGGACAGTCCCAGCTATGTACAGTCTTCCCCCCAGGCCATATTTGGCAGCAGTGAATGGGTTCTTCAATCTGTACTCTGTTAGTCCAGCACCAAATCAGATACATTATAAGTGTGGAACCTGGGAGAACTCACCGGGGGGGGGGGATCTCCATTAACTTTCTCAATCTTGCTTTCCTCTTGTGACTTCCTTTGGTAGTGCCTGCAGCTGCTTCTTTTCTTTCTCTTCCTCCTACCCACCTCCTTTTACTGTTTCTCCCTCTGGCAGCCTCTGGCCCCGTCTCACCTCCACCCACATTTCTCTTCTCCACCACCATTTTCAGTTTTACCTTTTTATAATTTTCCTCCCCACTCCAGCTTTAATGTCCCTCCCTCTTATCTTTTTTTGCCTTTGTTAGCCTCTCTCTTTCTCCCATCCTTCACACTAACTGAGGATTGGAATCTTCAACAATGTTGACTATCGGTTGCTTAGCAACCTCCCAAATGGTCATCAAGATCTCACAATGTAGTCTCAGGAGATCTCAGTGGCACACTTTTTTTAATGGAAATAAACATTGCTTTTATGAGTTTAGGGGTTTTCTTGACCCTCTCCCTTTTTTTTTGTAAATCTAGGGCTCCTGCCAGGCTTGTAAAACAATACCTCCATAGGCCCATTGTGTTGCATTTTTTTTGATCCACTCACTACATATGAGTCCAAATTACACCTAATGCTGATTATTGGTTTCTTTTTGTCTGGTACAAGTTTCTCATATCAAATTGCATTCTTATGGCAAAACAACACAAATACAACACAAATGGTCTTTTAAAAAGGAGGGATTTGCTTGACTGATCATTCCACAGTTCTCACTTTAAAAATCAAGCTACGAAGAACTAGTGTACATACCAAGTCCATGCCGGTGAGTAGACATAGGTGGCATTACACTCCAAGTTTTTGTTTTGGGATTGTAACACTCCACAGTATTCAGCGTTTTCAGTCCATCTCTACCGCCGACAACATACAGTTTATCATCCAGTACTGCCACTCCAAACTGTAATCTTCTCCCATTCATATTTGCTACAGGGGTCCACATATTGGTACGGAGATCGTATTTTTCAATGCTTGTTGCTCCTTAACAGTAACAGAAAATTATATTAATAGAAAATTCACCTTTGCCATCACTGTTCATTGTAAAAAAATGAACTGAGCTCTGTATTGTAAGGTGATGGGTAATCCAACCATATCTTTATTTTATATTCACTAACATGCACAGGAATGTTACTAGGAATATATTCGTTCAAAACACATTCTTGAAATTTGTCAGATCTACTTAAATAGCAGTTAACTAACCAGGCAAGTTTCATGAAAGCATTTCATAAACATTTTACTTGACCAAACTTGTACAAAATGAAATGTATAAATTAGTAACAGAGAAAAATCAACTGGCTTGTATACCTTAGTTAAGACCTCAGTTTCTGTGAATTTACATTTGCAGTCCATTTATCAACAATTCTGCCGTTATGGAATACTGAATACTAACTAACCAGAATAAAAATATGCTTCAAATCCAGCTATATTCAAAATCCATATTAAAAGAAAGAATAAAAGTTTGCTTGAACAACCATTATGAAAACTCTTTCATTAATGCTTCAATAATTAACCCCAAGATAATGATTTAAATATTCTGTGTAGTTTCTCCACATATTGTTCATTTTAAAAATAACTATCAACAAAAATGTAACACTGTGTATGCTTGTAAAAGTATTAACTTCAGCTTTTGGGAAAATATTCTACCAGCTTAACTACTTTTCAAACTTGCATGTATTGTGTCTGTGTTATACAACTGAAGCAGTAGTTTATGATGAGTATTGTACTTCGTACCAGTACCATTACGGTCTTACTTTTTCTCCCTTGCTATTCCCCTAATATGCATACATTCTTCAGAAAATCTTTCTTTGTTGTATTTTCAATAAAACTTTTTAAAACAATATTAATGTTTCAGAGTGGTGACGAATTTTTCACTCTATCTCTATAAAATGTTCGGACATTTATGGACAGAATTATATAGACTATAACTCAGCGGTCCATTTTCAGTAACGTTTTTAATTGTTATTTTACAAAAGGTCAAATTTGAATAAATTAGGTATAATACAGTGTTCCCGACGTATCAATTTATATCTATCCATATTAGGGTAGAACTATACATTAAAAGTATGGAACTGAACATAAACGGTTTTGCCCCCCCCCAAATTAAGCAGCACATTGGGTTGCCAACCTCCAGGCGGTGGCTGAAGATCTCCTGAGAACCAGTGTTCCCTCTAAGCTGAATTAGTGTGAGCCAACTCACAGTTTTTAAGCCTCTGGCTCACACATTTTTGTCTCAGCTCAAGAAGGATGGCTCCAGAGCAGACTCATTTATGCAGCAGCCAATTTGCTCGCTCACGACTTTAATGCCGGTAGCTCACAAAGTAGAAGTTTTGCTCACAAGACGCCACATCTTAGAGGGAGCATTGCCTGAAACTACAACTGATCTCCAGGCAACAGAGCTCAGCTCACCTGGAGAAAGTGGCCACTTTGGAAAGTGTACTCTATGACATTATAGCCTGCGGCTGTCCCTCCCATCCCCAAGCCCTGCCCTCCTCAGGCCCCACCCCCAAAATCTCCAGGTATTTCCCAACCCAGAGCTGGTAACCCTATAAAATACAGTTCATGGGGCTACAATTTAAAGGGGAAGTTTCGTGGTGAAAGAGACAAACAGTACAATGCTTTACCTTCATATTGTTTTCCCACTGAAAATCACGACCCCGAGCAAATTTTTGCCCCTACTGGGGGGGAAAAACATACATAACTTGCAGATTTCCACAATGGAGGTAAAGACAGTGGAGAACAAAAGGAAGTGAAAAGTTTCAAGCCGCTATTCTCCCCTCCAGCACCAGTCCTCCTCTTTAAATGGCAGCTCCATGGCTGCATTTTGTTCAAATAAACAGAAATAACCATCCCCCATCATGGCAATCTAGCACTGCAATCTGTATGACGCAGACACATCATAGAAAACCTCATTCTTGGCTCATGCTACAAGTAGAGTTGTTTTTTAAGCCACACATGTGTTTGCTTCTACTCACATTAATATAAGCCAATAAACATTTTATTGCTCTAGGGATTGCTGGGAGAGAAATGCGATGGTGACATCACAAATACTTGCCAGCTGCTGGCCTTTCACTCACGAAAGCACTTCTGAGCAAGTCCTGTTTCTCTAAAAATGTCTCATCCATTCTTAGCCTTTATGTTGCCACACAAAATAAATACCTTTAGTTGCATCCATCCCTCCAACTGCAAACAATACACCAACGGTAGACTTTCTAGGCTTTGTGCGGGGACTTTGTAACATGGGTCGTCTCTCTGGCAACAAATGGTATTTCATTGCTTCCATAATGAGTTTCTGACATTCAATGTCATCTCTAAAGAGTGTGTTATTTTCCATATCCGCCAAAAACTAGAGGGAAGAAAAAGATGCACTGAACTGATAAACAAGAATTTATTAGCAAGAATATTCTACTCATAAAAAGCCAAAGGCTCTGTTGGGAATACTGTTAACAGTGCAATATTAATTCACCTGTAATCAATGTAGAATTTCATGTTTATATAGCGGGAATCCTCTCCCTAAGGAACATTTGTGTTGAAATTTAGTTGTAATTTATATTAGATATACTGTGAATTGCTTTGGGAGCAAATTTTTGTCTGAAAAATACTTATAAATAAATAAAATACAAACAGGGGAACAAGCCAAAAGAATAAGCACATAAGTAGCAAAGCTAAAGCATTTAGAGAAAGCTAACCACACAAAATATGCTTGCCTAATGCTATGGATTACACCTGTTTAGCACTTTGCAGCAGAAACTGACTTAGTATCAGCTGTCAATACAAAACCTGGAACTAAATTTCACATTTCCTTCCTTATGCTGCCAATATTATCAGGGCTCGCCAGGCAATTACACAGAGCCAATTAAGACAACATTTTACTTACTACAGTCAACACAGAAAAAGGGGAACTTGGCCTCAGGCGTACCGACGCCTACCTTCATCACCCCTACAGCGCAGAAAATGCAACAACGTGCATTACAATCATGTACACATTGGAATCCATCACCCCTTTTAAGTGCAGGAATGGAATGTAGGGTCAAGAAGAACCTGCATTCAGACAAGAGATGTGCATTTCGATGGAAACTAATAAAAATAGAAAATCGGACTGTATTCTTTAATGCAGTTATTTTAACTAATTCAAATAAGAAAACTATATTTCGAAATGAGAGTAATTGATTCTGTGTTTTCTAGCACATCACTGATCCAGATGTTGTTTCCATTTCACAAGACAACAGAAGATGGGGTAGTGATTCTCAGATAAGTCCATGATAGGACTTCATCCAACCAAAAGTCTTCGCTAGTGTTCCTGCCTAATAGGAATGGCACAGCATTTCCATTTCCCACATATCACTGCACTATCCCAGAGGCTTGGGGAGGGCTTTCTGATCCTGTGTAACCATGGGAACTTTTTGCATGAGCTAGGAGTCGAGCAAGGTGCTAGTATATGCTGGCGGGAAGGTAAGGCTACGCAGAATGCGGAGGGAGGGAAGGTAGAAACAAAAGTCCAGACCCACCTGCAGGGGATATCAGTGACAAGGGCCAAAGGTTTCCCCTGCTCATTCCACCCTCTGAAACAGATATCTCTTTTTACAGACCAGGTTGTGTACAGAGGCTGAGGTCAACACTGTCCCACCCCAACAATAAACACACAGACCAAACTAGAGAAAGCCTGGAAGATCAGTAAATAGGAAGAATTAGACATCTCTCTATGGAAATTTCCTGGAAAATTTTCTGGAGAACTTCCAGAAAAAAAATCTGGTGTCCAAATTCAGCATGATCTGATTTGGCATTTTTCTCCTGACAGGCCTCCGATCACAGAAGGTGGGTGAAGTGGGGGGGGGGGGAGTGCCAAAATGTTGGTTAGATAAGAGGAGAAGGATAAAGTTCCCCTGACTCACATGCTCTGTTTTTGTTTAAAATTGTTGTCCCCCTAACTCCTACTTTAGGATTTCAGGGAAAGGCTTCCTTGTGCCTGCCATATGAGCGAGAATTCTAATCACAGCTAAAACTGGACTCTCCTATCTGTCTGAGAATTGGCATCCCATAGGTGTGGGGCTACAAATATTCCCATACATTTTTAACCATTATCTAACAGCAGCTATTTGCTTTTTCAATATTTTGTTTAAACCTATCTGGCTAGAATTATCATATTCACACAAAAACACCTGCAGCACCCAGGATGGTTATCGGAGATTTTTTAAAGATATAGCTGGAGTTAAAACCCTTCCATACAGGGCGTTTAAACCAATTCCTGTCAATATAAATTACTATTTGCATATATCACAACACTATAACAGTATCACTCATGGATGTCGTGAGACATTAGACATTCTGAGATTTTTTTGCACACTACTGATCTTTACACTGTGTTCCAACCATTATCCTCATCCATAGTGTCATGTAGAAACAATGCTATCTACCGTGCAGAACAGGTCAGTCCACTGAGGATAAACAGCTGTGGGTCCAGACTGATCTGACATGATTATTCCAAATACATATACTAGTTGTACTTTATCGTTCTCCTTCAGTCACAAATCGGTTGTTTTATGACTTGTTCCAAGGCATCACAATTCATGATTAGTGAAACTGTTTAGTTTAGAAGAACAAACTGTCTCTGTTCAGCCTGCCAGTTGAGATTCTCTTTCCAGCTGCAGTTTTCTGTGCTCCCGTATGCAGAGGCGATGGCAGACACAGGGCTTTTTCAGTGGTGGCACCTCACCACTGCAACAGCCCCCTCGCTGAGGCCTGACTTCTGTCTTACTCTCCTTTAGGAATGTTTCTTTTTACTCAGATTGTCAGCTAAGGGATTCCACCTTTTTAGTTGTTTTTACAGCCTACTTTGGGCCTGATGGGTAATTTATGAATATAATTTTCATGCTGTTTTTGTGTCTTGGCTTGTTTTTTAATGACACTTTTTAAAATGGCTTTTTATCATTGATAATTTTCTACGCTGCCTTCACAATTTTATTGTATTCTTTTACTTTTCTGAGATGTCTGGGGCAGGTCTCCAGAAAGGTGGCATATACATTTTCTCAACAAATGAATACACTCATGAGAGAGCATGGCCTCGCTTAGTTTTGAACTTTGTCAGTTTCACCCAAGTACAAAAAAACCCTTTTCTTGACAAAACAGTAACTGATTTTTCAGTTTCCTATTTCTTGAATGACTGGAAGAAACAAAAGAGCCAGCTGAGCTGCCACTATGCTCACGAGACTCACTTTATCGGGGGCATACTTAGGGCCAAACTAGACATGATGGCTTCTCATGTAAGACATGGAGCATGGCCAGCATTTTAAAGCCTAAAGGTGCTCTTCTCCACCCCCTTCTCGAACCTTCTCAAGTGCCAAAACGACCCCCCACGGGTGTTACGGCACTTGAAAAGACATGGAGGAGCAGAAAGCCTCATCCCACTGTGCTGCATGCCTAGTCCGGATCAGGCCCTCACAACGTTTTTAAATCACCCATTTAAGGCTTTGAAGCGGAAGTGATATCCCTGTGTCAGACACAACACTGTCATGGCTAGCTTGCCACTTAGTTTCTACTTTGGTCCAAGTGGCAACTTAGGGCTGTCAAGTAGGGGCAGGGGGCCGGGAAACCCCTGCTTTGGAGGACCGATTTCTGCCGCGGCGGAATCGGGCCTCGGGGGGAACTCCGCCCCCCGAAGCTGTGTCACAGAGGTGACACAGCCACATCGCTCATGTTGGGGGCGTGGCCCAGATCGTCAGGGGGGAAACCACATGGGTCCCCCCCCCGAAGATCTGGGCCACACCCCCAACATGAGCTACGTAGCACATCACTTCCTGTGACGTGCTGGTGGTGCGTGCGCGCTTTGCACGCGCACGTCCTGGGAGAGCTCCTGGAGCCCAGCAAGGCTCCCCCGCCGGCAAGGGTAAGTACACTTGGCAACCCTATGGCAACTCCACAGAGGATTTTACATGTATCTAAACTAGTCCATGCAATGGAGAACACCAAGTCAATGATCAGCCAAATTAACATTTCAGACTAAAGAAGCATATTAATATATTAAATTTGAGACGTGTAGGCACTGTGGAAGAGCACTCACTCTGCTGGGTCCAAATAGACAATCTGGTCTAAGAGATCTAACTCAGGGGAAATCTGTTCCGGGTGCTTGCAGCAGAAGCAGGCTATGTGCTACGCTAAGAGGCTGAAAGGGGTGAGATCACAAGCCCAGATTTCCTTGCCTCGCCCCCAGCAAAAATTTGTTCTATCTCATGTTTATTTTAAAAAATTAAGATATGGGAACAAATGAATAGGTTGTTTAGAAAGATGAAGTGGTAGGTAGCTCACCTGAAGAAGTATGAGAGGAAGTGCAAGAAAGAATACTAAATCAGCATTCAAATCGCTGGCCAGGATGTTGTCGCATGCACTGAGTGGGGGCGGGGGACGAGCCAGGCTTAGTTCAAGGAAGGAAAAACCATGGTGAGTCCTAGTTTGTATGTACATTTGTATCCATCCTGACACACACAGCCGCTATCTTCCTTATAATTAAAGATGCAAAGAACTATACAACTGTTTCTAGATACCCTGGGGTGCTTTGGGTATCTCCCTCTAACAGCAACTCCCCATGCCACCTGGTAAACTTGAAATCGAGGGAAGTTTCAGAAGTAATGTGCAGTATGGTATGGTGGTCTATGGTTCTAAAGAAAGGAGTCAGACACTTCACTGGGCACATCTAAGACTGCTTTTTGGATCCCAGCCTACGCTAAACTTTTTTTTAAAAGGACTGTATATGTTAACACTCTTTACAAAATACTACTTATAATTTCCAATGCAATGGAATGGCTATGTTTCCCACAGGACAAAAAGTCCCAGAAAACTATTTGTATATATGACTATCACAAGCTCCTGTGGCTTTTTAGTGTGCAATAATGATAAATGCATTGTTATTAAGATCTATGAACTTGATGCTGACTGAGAGGAAATATTGGGAAACAACCTGCAGTAGCCTGCTGGCACAATTAAGATGGGAATACTGGGCACCTACTAACTAAAGCCTTGATGCACTCAGGTTCTCAAGTTCACATGAGAACATAATCTCACGCTTCAGAATCAGGATAAAAGTCAAAACTATTTTCCATTGTCCCTCAGGTAATAGCCTACAGGATTCACAAATACCAAGTGCAGATTGCCATTCCAAACATTTTGTATTATCAGTTAGAGATCTGGATTTCACACTGTAGATCAGTGGCTTTGCTGAAGACAGAGCAAATACATAAGGTAGAGGGCTAAAATGTCAACACGTTTCTGAAGCACAGAACCGCAAAGTTGTACCCTTACAGGGAAAACCCCCCAAAGTTTGAGTCCAGTCAACAAAGTTCTATTCAAGGTATAAGCTTCCGTGTACAAGCACACTTCTTGTTTGTGCACATAAGCTTATACATTGAATAAAACTTTGTTGGTCTTAAAGGTGTCACTGGACTCAAACTTTGTGCTGCTGCTTCAGACCAACATGGTTACCCACCTGAATCTACTTTCAGGGGAGAAAAGTTTCCACCTGTAACCAGAAAATGGGCCCTCAAACCTGACTCCACATCATGCTCACCCATCTTGTGACTTTCCAAGCCAAATGAAACCCATTTGCCATGTGCTGTGACTGTCCAAGTGTTTGACAATGGCTCAGAAAGTGTCAAAAGCAGAAGGCTTATTAATCCTAGCCAGGGACGGCATACATAGCTGCAGAGTTCTCTTTGGCTTGGTCAGTTGCGCTGGCAAGAGTACCTATGGATCTGATTAACCTCCTCTTTGTGCACATGAACCATATACAAAGTAAAGCAGAACAAAAACAAATTGGTCTAACGGACATACATCACATTCTTTCTTGACAGGATGCTCTTAATCTGAAGACACGTACACTTCTTTTCAAGAGAAAAAAATGCAACCCCTGTTATGCATGGTTATAGAATGTTGGAGCAAGGACGTGCTTTTCATCTTATAAAGAGTGTTGTGCAGACCGGCGGCACTCTATTAACCACCACCACTACAGGGACACAGATGTTTCCAAAGAGCGAGTTCACTAGATGAGACACAACTGAGGAGTATCACCCTAAGTTGTTCACATTTTCAGGTCATTAAATGGCTTGAGTAGAGTGCAGCAGTGTACCTGTGGCGCAAGCAGTGGCAGCCTGATGTAGGCCAGGAGTTTACTGAGATCCTTCTTCCTCTGTTCCAAATCGTGTCGCACCCACGTGAGCAATGCATTCAGAATGGTCTCTTCATTTGGAATATTCATGTCATCACTTGCTAAAAGCTTTGCAATCTCAGTGGCAGGCAACAATAAAAATTCTTGGTTTCTGATTACCTCCATGAAATGCTCCTAGAAATGAAAAAATAAATAAATTCAACATTAGAAGAAGAAGAAGAAGAGATTGGATTTATACCCCACCCTTCACTACCCAAAGGTGTCTCAGAGCAGCTTACAAACTCCTTTCCCTTCCCCTCCCCACAACAGACACCCTGTGAGTTAGGTGGGGCTGAGAGAGCTCTTGACAGAAACTGCTCTTTTTCAAGAACAGCTCTTGTCAGAATTATGGCTTGCCCAAGGTCATCCAGCCAGGTGCAAGTGGAGGGGTGGGGAATCAAACCTGGTTCTCCCAGATTAGAGTCTGCGCACTTAGCCACCACACCAAACTAGCGGACAACAGATAAGCAAAATTTTGAAGTTTAAATGAAGACTGAAACATGAATTGAAGAATAAAATAGATTTGGTGTACAAAATCCAAACACACCACGACTAGCCGCAGGTTTGCTCACTATTAAGACATTATTGATCTAAAAACAGTTTGTGAAAAATTGTCTGCCTAAAGAAGTATGTACTTCATTCTCCTCTGTGAAAAAAAAATCATTCGAGTTTTGAACAGTAACTCACTACATCTGCATGCTCTCTTCTGAATGAGATATTTCTGGTTTGTGCAAGATTTGTGATTTTCACCAAAGGGAAGCGATTAAGTGAGGGGCGGAGCGTTTCACCCAACAGGCCCAGGAGATTATTTACCCTGACTGTTGAATTTTGGGACCATCTGGATAACTGTTAACAATATGTGCAAGCATATCTCCACAATGATAAGGGCCAGAAACTTTTATTTTAAATTTATTTTAGTATTTTACGTATGTCCTTAAAATGCTGATGTAGCACAAAGGATAAGAGAGACAAATCTCTGCCAAGGAAAGAAAGTAAATTCAGTCCCATTGACTTGAATCTTATGCAGAACAGGAGCAGAGCTGCACTACATAAATGCCTTCCCCTTTCCTGCCTTCCCCTTTCTGCTGAGCCCGGGGTGAGCAGATCCCAAAGAACACCAAGAGGATCAAAGTGGGGGGCTGCAGGGGGGGGGTCTGTAAAAATCACCCATTCTGCAAGTGGAAATGCCTACGGCGAGAAACCAGGAGTTTTGAAATCCTGTCTTAGAGAATTTATGCCTTTTTGAAAGTGTCCATGCCTGATTTGTGCTTTCTTTTAACCAATATTCAATGTTAGTGTTTCTTAGGCCCCGGTCACACGGCAAAGTTGCCGCGGGAGAGGCACGGATGGTGGGCGGATTATCCAGGCGCGATCACACCCCAACATCTGGGAGGTGGAGCGCACCCATGGCTTACCGCCGACAATGCGAGTTAAAAAATTAGTACCTCCAAGGTACTAGTAAACGTTTGCCACAGGCTGCCTCCAGACGCCCGTGGTGTGATCGTGCCGGCGCACGGCATTCCCCTCCAGTCCCTCATGTACCCACCGGCACCGAGGGAAGGACCGGTGGTGTGCCACCGGTGCATCTGATCGCGTAACCGCGGATCAAACTGTGCCGGGGCAATTAGCCACGCCTCCCCCCTGCGATATCCGGCCCATGTGACCGGGGCCCTAATTAACTTTTGTTTTATGGAATGCCAGGCTGAAGGCATAAATGTGTGGGTGAGTGTGCCTGAGTGTGATTGTGTCCACTTGAAGACCATGCGAGAACAAGCTACCAGAAGCAGATGTGCCTGTTCCATTGTCTGCAGTGAACACAAGCTACAAAAACAGGAGATACTTTTTCCAGTTGGCAGGGAACTCAAAGGGATGCTATGTGTGTGTGACTGACTTCCCCACCTCAGCCCTTATATCTTGGTTATAGTGCCAGGAACCTCTTGCCAAGATACTGAAGATGCCTTGGATCAGGGCTAACTGTCTTCAGAACCAGCCTACTTCAACCTTCTGATAAAAGGGAAAGGAGAAGTTTTCACCAGGCTGTTCCAAACAGAAGGCCATTTTCCCAAGAAACCCACCTGGATCTGGCTGATCCCCATCTTGTTCCTAACCCTAACCGTGTGGCTTTCAATCACGTTTAATAACCACGGCTAAGGTAGGCTGACGCATTCATTCCTCCATCCTCACTTCTTCAACTGAGAATTGCAGTTAAGCATTAACCTGGTTACCTGTAGGGCTGAATCCAGCCAGCTTTTCCTGCAATCTCACCCAATATCCTTCCTTACTGCAACCTCTACTCCAAACGGTTTTTGTCCATGCAGATCTCACAATCCCCAGAACAGCCTTTTTGGTGGTCAAAAGAGATGCCCTTCTCCTTTTTTCAGCAATGAAAATGCTGACTGGATCCAATCCATGATGCATGATTACAGGCACATTCCGCCATCCAATGGCATTCTCAGCTTGTAAAAAAACATGGCTTAGGATCCCAGTGGGAAGGAAACTAGCTCTAGTTAACCCAAGTACCTGTATTTAACTGAGATTTTCATCATGAGAAGGGGTGTGTGTGTTATGAGATGCATGTGTGAGCTTGCCAATGATCCTGATCCATGCAGAATTTTCTTATCTGCTGTTACATGTCAACAAAGTCTCATTTAGCTAAAAATCTTCTTTAAAATACCAGTATCTTACAAACACATGAGTCAGGAGGAAAAAAGAAGGAACAAATTGCAAGGGAGAGCAGTTTCTCTGATTGAGATCATAAGAACATAAGAACATAAGAGACGCCAATGTTGGATCAGGCCAAAGGCCCATCCAGCCCAACGCTCTGTATCACACAGTGGCCAGAAATACCAGGTGCCATCAGGAGGTCCACCAGTGGGGCCAGGACATTAGAAGCCCTCTCACTGTTGATCCCCTCAAGCACCAAGCATCACTTGCCCCAGAGCCCCTATCTATACCTTGTGGCTAATAGCCACTGATGGACCTCTGCTCCATATGCTTATCTAATTCCCTTTTGAAGCCGTCCATGCTTGTAGCCGCCCTGTAGATCCCCTGACAAAGCTCATCACGAAACACACTGAGATCTAAAAGGTCAAATAAACTTGCTGTCCCTTGCACCTTGTCCCTCCTTTCCCCCTCCTATTTACTGGTGCAACCATATTTTCTTCTTTATACTGAATCAGATCATTGGTCCATCAAGGTCAGTATTGTCTATTCAGACAGGCAAAAACTCTCCAGGGTCTCAGGTAGAGGTCTTTCACATTACCTATCTATATATCTAATACTGAAGTCGCCCCCTGGTGTGCGGATACCTAAATCTGCGCACCGGGGGCAGCTGGGGGGGAGGGAGAGTTTTGTGCACACGTGGGGCGGGCCCCAGGTGTGTACAAAAATCTAAAAAACCCTCAAAAATATCGGGGGGATATTTAAATCCCCCCGAAACTGACAGAGCGTTTCCTGCACATGCGCAGGAAACGCTCTGCAGCCGGGCTTGCCGCCGCCCCGCTTCGGAGACCTCGCTGGTCTCTCCCCACCCCTGGCTCCGAAGCGGCGGCGGCGGGTTGCAGCCGCCCGCGCCTCGCTTTGGACCTCGCTTCTGAGCCGGGCGGGCGAGGGGGGGGAGAGCGAGGCCCAGGCGGCTGCAGCCGCTCGGCCCTTGCTTCTGAGCCGGGCGGGGGGGGATAGCGAGGCCCAGGCGGCTGCAGCCGCTCGGCCCTCGCTTGGGAGCCGGGCGGCCGGAGGAACAGCGAGGCCCAGTACGCAACATTTTGTTGCGGGTCTCCACTTGTTATTCCTAATACTGTTAAAAGAACCTTACTCTTTAAAGCGAACAAGTTGATCAACTCTGGCCCCGGTCACACGGGCAGGAAACTGCGGGGGGGGGGGAAGCGTGGCTGTTTGCCCCAGGGCAAACTAACACGCAGTAAAGCGATCATACCTCCTGTGGAGGTTCTGTGGAGGAACCGTGGAGCTTCCGTGGTTACGGAGAGGCGGCGATCACAACACACGCCTGCGCGCAACGAAGAAGAGCGCGGCGCGGCAACCTAGTTTCCTTTTTCTGTGTACACTACGAATGCGGCATGCTCCGTTGGGTGCTTGTGCGCAACCACGGAGACTTGGGGGGAAAAAAACCCTTCTTCGCAAGGGGACATGGACGGCCGCCGGATGCCACCGGAAACGCGATCAGACGCCCGCCCTTGCCCCGCAGTTACCGGAAACTAGTACCTCCGAGGTACTAGTTTTTTGCTCCGTTTTATCGGCGGTTCGCCACAGTTCAACCACGGGAGCTCTACGCTCCCCAGATGTTGCCGTGTGATCGTGCCAGGTAACTCCGCCTCTCTTCCGTCTATTTAGCGTGGCTTCTGCTCCGTGTGAACGGGGCCATTGTTAGTCATCAGCATAATCACTTAAAAAACCCAAATGTCTTATTCTTGTAACACAGTAGTACCACACGCTTGTAAACTGAAGTGACAAGAATACCAGAATCTGTGTTACTTACATTTACACTCCAAGTCCTAATACTCCAAATGAAACCATGCCAACACTTTTCAAGAGACACTAACGGCATTGTTTAGCTAGTGAAAAGCCTTTTAGCTGATGTGAGTCCCCTGACAATGTTCACTCAACATATCCTTTAAACCAAGAAATACCCACTTCAACTGAACTGCTGGGAGTCGGTCCCAAATGCAACAGATTTTAAATAAGATACGGACCACTCGCAGTTTCATAGAACAACAGATGCTTTACGTGAGCAGATGCTTTAGCTGGGCCTATGAACACCCTAAATAGCAAACAGCCAGTCAGATTTGGGGCCGGGGGCAAAAAAACTACAAAAAAAGTGTTCAAATTGAAATATAAATATTTTAGACTCATTCCTTTCCAATTTTAAAACCCTTCAGCAGAAGCAAAACAGTGTGAAGATACAACACACACACACACAACTGCTCCACAGCCATGCCTTTGCTGGAACTTATTACCATTTGAAGTACATACATAATTGTTTTTTTAAAATAAGCTACACTTGCTTTGAGATAGTACAAGTACACCAAACTCCTACTACAATCCTTTTCTGGAAAGAACGTTGTGTGGCTGCTGTTTCGGCGTTAACATTTCCCTGCTTTCAAGCGGCCTTTAAGCAAATGAAATTACTAGGGGATTTATTCTAATTGGAGATTCATGTTTCTATTCTGTTTCCATGGCAACATTAATTTCAAGCCAAAGTAGCTGCTTCTATATTACTCATTATTACTAAAATTCAATTTTAGGTCTCCTTTGGAACTAAACAACATTAAAACGGGACCATGAGAAGAATTCATCTAGCACAACTAATTAGTCTGGAAAATAGCTTTTTAAAATCCACTTAATTTAAATTTCACTCATGTCAAAGTGTTCACAGCTGTAATTGTACCACTGTTTGTTTCAGTGTCAATAGCTCCAAGGTACCTATTTCTATGGCCACATTTTAGAGTTAACTGTTATACTGCGTCTCGACTATTTCATAACAGATGGGGAAATTGTGCATCAGTAACATACAAAAAATAGCAAAGCAAATTATCAGCCTCTTTGTTGATGGCTTCCTTCCAACGTGACCAACCGGCTCTTCTCTGCCAGTTACACAAGAAGCAGAAGTCTGGGGCCATCTACAAGACAAAGAATGAGAAGGGGCAGCAGAAACCATATAATCTCAGCATGCTCATTAGGAAACAAGAGCTGCTTGGAGAGAAACAAGACTCCCCATTATCTAGTTCCCAGATCATCAATAAGGACCTCTCAGTAATTCCACAAGAGTACTTCTGTACAAAGGACCTAGCCTCTTTAGCATTCGAACCTGAGAAAAAACTAAAAAGCCTACATTAGGTTCTCTCTACTAAAAGGTTCGTAGTCCAGAGTTACTTAGGTGAGACTATGGAATTTTCTCCAAAAAAATTCCAGCTCAGTGCGATAACTGAGCTCTAAAATACCTCTTCTTTACCCAGAGAACTCCCCCCCCCCTTTTTGCTTATTTGGATTTACATCCCAGACCTGAAAACTCCCTCCTTCTGCCCATCAATCAATCAGGAAGCATAGCGCCGAAAATAGATGCTTTTGAACTATGGTGCTGGAGAAGACTCTTGAGAGTCCCTTGGACTGCAAGAAGATCAAATCAGTCAATCCTAAAAGAAATCAACCCTGACTGTTCCCTGGAAGGCCAGATAATGAAGCTGAAGCTCAAATACTTTGGCCACCCAATGAGAAGGGAGCACTCACTGGAGAAGACCCTGATGCTGGGAAAGACTGAAGGTCAAAAAAGAAGGGGACGGCAAAGGATGAGATGGTTGGACAGTGTTATCGAGGCAACGAACATGAAATTAAGCAAACTCCGGAGCACGACGGAAGACAGGAGGGCCTGGCATGATGTGGTCCATGGGGTCGCGAAGAGTCGGACTCGACTGTGCGACTGAACAACAAAAAGGGATTAGACAAAATTATAGATATGTCTATCAATACACATTAGCCATGGTGGCTAAATGGCATTTCTGCGTTACAGGAGCAGTATCACTTTAGGGCAAAAAACAGGAGGGCGATTAAAGGTAAACCTCTAAATGCCAGTGCCAGGCGGCAATATCAGGGGAAGACCTAGGCCTCTACACCCTGTTGTTGGCCCTCCAGAGTAACTGGTTGGCCACTGTGAGAGACAGGATGCTGGACTAGATGGATCACTGGTCTGACCCAGCAGGGCTCTTCTTATGTGTAGCCTGCCAGCCAGTGTAATGAAGCAGGCAGAACCACTACCGACCTGTAAAACCGAACACCAATAGGCTCAAGTCTTGACTTTTCTGTGCTCATTAACCAAGATTACAATAAAAATCCATTGCTGTTTATCTTACAAGCCCCATATGGAAGATTTTATTGTGTTCTTCACTAATACATTGCACTGGCTCCCGATAGCATACCGAATTCGCTTCAAGGTGTTGGTGCTTACCTTTAAAGCCCTTTATGGTCAGGGGCCTACATACCTGAGGGATTGCCTTTCCCCACGTTCCCCAGAGAGCACTGCAATCAGGGTCACAAAATCGACTGGCCCTCCCAGGCCTCAAGGATGCCAGGCTGGCTGTAACCAGAGCCATGGCTTTCTTGGTGGTGGCTCCGTTCTGGTGGAATGAGCTCCCAGAAGAGCTCCACAGGACCTGCGAGACGGAGTTCTTCCACCAGGCTTTCAACTAAGGAGCCACCACCAATAGTTGAAAGGCAGAGAACCCTGACCCCTGAAGTCACTAACAACAGCCTGGAGTCACTAACAACAGCCTGTGCCAGCTGCATAAAGGATTAGATCGATGGGCCGATCACTAGAATATATAATTGATTGATGGCCGCCATTGTTTAATAATATGATTACTATCAGTATCACTTAATGTTTATAGCACCTATAAGTTGGACTGCTTTTAAATGATTTTAGGATTGTTTAAATTGTTATTGATATGTTCTTATTCTTTTATGCAAGCCGCCCTGAGCTGACTTTGGCTGGGAGGGCAGGGTATAAATCTGGTAGATAAATAAATAAATAAATAAAATAAATACACAAGCTATATAGCTATTACACGTTTCATCCTGCTAATTTCAACTGGGTTAGACAAAGACAATCAAGAACTGGACATAAGCCTCTCTATTCATACAACTACACTTTCAGAACAGTAGTTTGTAGTTCACAATATGGCTTGGCTCAGATGGCCAAACCATGCTATGTGAACAAACCCTGACACCGACCAGGACCAATGTATTCCTTTATCATGCATGATCTATCAATCCCAGAATATTTGTCAATTCCAGGACCTTCACAGGACCAGTTTCATAATATGTGAGAGTTAACTAAGGTATAAGGACACATGAAAGTGGTAGAAAAGAAGATACATTCAGTGGGCAAAAATCAGCAATAAACTCAGAATTCTCTGCATCCCTCCTCTTTCCCTGTATTTACTGATTTTACACATCACTGAACTGACTGCTGAATAATATGTCATATAGTATATATACATTACTTTTCTAAGTACTCAAAGTATTTAACCTGACAAGGTGGGCTGGTAATTATTCCCCAAGTTAAAGATGAGGGAGAATGGAGTAAGGCTAAGAGACAAGAGGTTGCCCAAGGCTAATCAGCTTACAACAACGGAGATGAGATCTGAGCAACGGGGTTTTAGGTTCACGAGTTCGTAGACTATGCCAGAACCATATTCTGAGATACATGAGATTTATTTTTTCTTATTTCTCTGCTGTATTCCTTGGAACATCCCCCCCAATTCAATAACCAGGTTACAGATGCCCATGCAAACAGCATACCATGGTGTAATTGTGGGCCACTTTGTGCAAATCTGTGCAACCCTGTGCATCAGCAAAGGAGCGGATTCCAAGGCAATTTGATGGATGAAGCTGTTTCATTAAGAATTTACAGCAAGCTTCTACAACCTGAGAGAGCTGGAGAATACAAGCTGTAGATAACAGGCACTCAATATTGTCTTCTTTTAGCTCAAGGCGACCTAAAGTAATCAGAAAAAGTATTCATTATTTAGGAAAGCGAGCACAACAGCAGCACTAGAAAAATCAGACCAAGGGTCTATTTGGAAACAGGATGCTGGAAAACAGTGGATAACCAGATACTTTTAGGAAGCCCATAAGAAAGGCATGGAAACAACAAGCCCTCCCCTACTGTTTGTTTCCCTCTCCCCCAGCAACTGATTCTGAGATATGCTGCCTTTGACTCTGGGAGTTCCATTAGTTATCATGGTAAACAGAGAAAGGTTGCCCAGTGTAACTCATTCCTTTCTAAAGCTATCTAAACGAGTGGCTACTATCCTATCTTTCTGCAGTGAATTCTATAAGTTAACCAGGGCTTTTTTTGTAGAAAAAGCCCAGCAGGAACTCATTAGCATAATAGGCCACACCCAACAGCAGAAACTCATTAGCATATTAGGCCACACCCCTGACAGCACAGCTTATTAGCATATTAGGCCTCCATGTTACCAGAAGTGTGGTCATCCAGCCACACCCACCTTTTGCTTCTTATTCTGTTTACCTTGTTTGTTGTCAAAACCCAGGGCCTTTTTTTTTGTAGCAGGAACTTCTTTGCATGTTAGGCCACACACCCCTAATGTAGCCAGTCCTAATGAGTTCCTGCTGTTGGGTGTGGCCTATTATGCTAATGAGTTCCTGCTGGGCGTGGCCAATTTGGGAGCCAGCCGGAACTCCATTCCTGTGCGTTCCTGCCCAAAAATAGCCCTGAAGTTAACTATGACTGCATTCTGACCTCAGTTCATTCACAATAAGAACAAGGCATTAGGTTTGCACGCTCCCCTACATTTCTCCTTCTTTTCCCTGCACCACAGAGACCAAAGACATTCTGTTTGGAACAAACCACAGTTCCTCATGAAGTCCAAGAAGAAAAACAACTAACCGTGGTGTGTTCTCATGCCTAGAAACCTGGATTATAAACCAGAATGAGAACTGAACTGGACTTTCAGGTTCAGAGGCAGAATACTTCTGTCAGTCAGACGCTGGGGAGCAGTCAGCAGGTAAAAGTCTTGCCAGTGGGTTTCCCCTCTGGTATCTGACTTGCCATACCAGGGCCGAAGAACTTGAGGTCTGCAGATAAGCCCCTCCCCTCTGGGAATTGCAAAACTAAGCGACCCTGCCTGTGAAGAGGAGGAGGAGCTATATCCTCAGACGTAAGGACCGTCTCACCCAGGACCACTAGAGAAGGACAAACAGAATTAAGAATCAAAGAACTTAAATCGCTTTCTACATATGAACTCAGTCCGGGCTACAGACATCATCAACAGCACATGGGCCTAGTCATTTAGACCACCTCATTTGGAAACATGCTTAATTAGACTGATGACTTGTGCAATGCCTAGACAGTCACACTGGGATCTGGGAGACCCAGGTTTAAATCCCCATTCTACTATAGAAGTGCGCTGGGTGACCTTAGGCCATTCACACAGTTTCATTCTCACCTGCCTCATAAGGTGGTTATCAGAAAGATGTTAAGTCTCACTGGGGAGAAAAGCAGAGTATAAATAGCCAAATAAATAAATAAATAAATAGTTACGGTAAACGCTCACCTCCCTCTCAAAACATGGAGCTCAAAGATATCTCCCTTTCTAAACTACTTTTCCCAGCACTTTCTTTTAATCTCCCCTCCCTTTTGTTCTTTTTTTTAATATATCTGATGTTACCTACAAATTCTTTTTAAAAAGCTTTTGCAAACAATTTGCAAAAAGCGTCCTCAGGAGTTTCCAGTAATACAAAAGCATCAGGGATACAAACCCTAGATGTTTCAAGCAGCCCCCTCTAAGTTTGCATTGAATTAACATAAACCAGCCTCTTGTTTCACAAAATCCCTCCTGTGTATCAGAGCATGTGGAGTAAGTCTGAATCTAGCTACACGTGCACACAGCTCACTGCAGACAAACACCTCTTTCAGTTAAGAGCATGTGTAAACAAGAGATAGCTCCAGGCCACTGCAGAACATATCTTGTACTACCAAGTCTACTCTGAGCCATTCCTTTCTGTACGTCAGAGATGTAAAGCAGCACATTTTCACAAAATGGAAACATTTACAGTGCTTTATTTTCCCTGCAAAAATGTTCTATTTCTAGAGATTGTTTCATGACATTGACAATGAGTGCATGCCATTGTTCATAGAGTACTAGGCAAACTTGGCAGTTTCAAATTTATAATTAATGTTGTTCAGGTCATTATCCCTAGGAGTGTAAGAGAACTGTGCATATTCTATTGATCTGTAAGTGGAGGATGAAGGAAGAAATGAAGTCACAAATATATGTACTAATCCAAATTTTAAAAATCAAGTTATTAATTCATCTGATTGACTGTGCAGATCAAATCAAAACCAAAGCTAACTTTCTTGTTGAAATGTCTCCTCTCACATGATGGAGGGGATACTGTAAAGCCCAATTTGATATGGGACAAGTAAATGCAAGCAAAGCTATGGAAAGTGACAGTGAAAACTGAAGTGACCCAGTGACCTCATGGAAATGAATTACATTTTATTGAAATAGATGAATCGACAGCTATATCCATGGCATATCAAGAACAGCTCTTTGGGCTGCTAAACTGATTTCAGCTGGGTTTTGATTGCAGTAATTCTTCATGGGACTAAACTGTGAGAGTGTCAACAGTTTTCTTTATCTTTTGATTTTTTTCAGAAATCAAAACCATGTAACGGAGCGCATGTGATTCTGTCTTTAAAGAACACAATTTTTTTCTACTCAGATATTTCAGTTGAAGATTTTGTTGCTATTCAAACACAGCATTAACATGGGGTAATTTTAAAAGTTTGTTTACTAAATATAAGGGGGGAATATCATAAACCAGATCACACTCCATTTAGGGAATCAGAAAATTGCCCAACTCAGATTTTCCCCAGAAAGCCCACTATATACAAAAGGGCAGCATCCAGCTCACTTCTGTGGGGCACTCTGAAATAAAACATTTACTTAGACGCAGAGTATGTAACAACTTTACCAGCCACTCATTACCTGTATAGGCATATTGCACCAAAGCCCATAGTGCATTTGGATCCACACCTTCCATTTTTATTTCTTCTTGCCTTGCTTCCCTTACATCGTTGGTAAACATGGCTGCAAAATAGTCCGAGACTGAGGACAACACCAGTCTGTGAGCATATGAAAATTGGGGGGGGGGGGGGGAAAGGGGAGGAGACTATCAATCTGGCATTTGCTATCTGCTTTATTTTATCCCTTGAGAGAAGAATATTAACAAAAGCATTTTAAACTTGACAGAATACTTTCATGCTCCGATATCCCTCTATGAAGTGTCGCTCCTACAAACAGGGGCTTTTGAGGTTATCAAGAAAAGAAGCTACTGACTGTCCCTGCTCAAATGGACAAGGCATTACTTCTGGCTACATCCTGATATACCATTCCAATAAAGTGCAAGCACAATATAGGATTTAACTGCAGGGAAACCGATGTACAATTTTTAAATTTTTCAGGCACCATAGAGAAAAGACGTGGAGGTGTGAATTTTGCCCTCTCAGGTGACTGGGTTGGATCCAGTAATCCACTGATAAAAGCATCACAGATGGCTGCCATGTTTCCCCTCCACCCCAGCAGTCTCTTCCAACTCTGGGAAAGCAGATTTTCATAGTTTTGGGATGGAAATGGGCTAAAACCTAAACAAATCAAACCCACCAAATTCAGTTTATTTTTCTAAATACTTGTTATTTTACAATATTACTAAAACCCATGCAAGTAAAAGATATTTTTGCCCATGCACACGTACATGCACAAGTTTTGTTTTTTTACAGAATTACAAAACACAACTCAGTCCAAGCAAACTCTTGTATGTAAAAACGATTCTGGAGTTTTAATTCCTTGAAAGTAAGAAAGACAGTCATACAGAACGAAAGCCACACTCCACATAGTGGGATGAATCCAACCAGTTTCCCAGTGATGAAAAAGGTACATGGGTCCCCTTTTGACCAGACAAAAAGATTATCCCTGGGATCATGGGACCTACATGGACAAAGAAGTAGCTATAGTAAGGAAGAGAGTTGGGCAAGACTGAGTGAGAAAGCAGGTTGGATCCACCCCAGTGGTTCTTGCCAAGACTGAATGATGCCATTCCTTCAAGTCTTCCTCACGTACTCAGTGGGGCAAGAAGGACTCACCTTTCCAGAACACACACCAGGAGCAACTCCTGAATGCAGCATGTATGTATATAATCTAATAAAAGTACGATGAATCAAGGGGGCTACAGCTCAGTGGAAGAATATAAGCTTTGTGTGCGGAAGGGGTCAACATTAAATCCCTGGCATCTTCAATAAAAGCCTCTCAGGTGGAAGAAGCCTCTGCCCAAGATTTTGGAGAGCTGCTGCCAGTCACAGTAGACATTAGGCTGACTCAATAACAAAGCAACTTTATAAAAAGACCACAAATGACATCCCATTAAAAAAAAAAAACCTGTTTGGGGGACGTCTGCTAATCATGTGCAAGCACTGCACCAGCATGAAGATACCTGGTGGCTTAGATGGGGAGGGGGGAACGGGACAGGAATGTCAGATGGGCAGAGCGCTCTCACTCCACCATCACGGGTAGGAAGGAGAAAGAGAGAGGCAGAGAGGGGCATCTTCTTCACTGAGCCACGCATTCATATATGGAAACGTATGAACACTGGTGAGAACAAGAGCCTCCAAGGATTTCATGCTAGAAGTCCAGTGCGGCCCAAGATACACTACACGGTGCTGGCACAAGGAGGACGGGCTCAGCACCAATGACATGTTCTGGCATGGAAAATGGAAAGATGATAGAATAACGGGCAGCCGCCTGTGGAAAGAAGTAACGGAAAGGGCAAAGCAAAGTTGGAGGGGGTAAAACCCAAGCAGAAAAAGTGAGAATTATGTGGCCTAGACGGCCAGGTTTTTTTTAACAACTCCACACCGACAGGAACATTCATGACACTGTCCTGTGGAGGTTAAGTTTTCTTTTGAGCAAGGCAAATCAATGTTTGCCTCTTTTCAAAGAGAGCTATTCTCGCTGAGGAGCCTTGCCCGAGCAAGTCACTTCAGATTCTGGGCCTCTCTCGACAAGCCAACGATCTACTGGGATTCCGTCTTATTTGTTGCAATTGGAAGTCATTACGGGCACACCTCTCTCTCTTACCATTATCATAGTTCCATTACACTCTAAGCATCGTTCAAGAGGAAGAGAGGCAAGGGTGTATTTCAGTAAAATGGAGGAGAAGGAGGACAAGATAAGCTGCTTTGGATCCCCACTAGGAAGAAAGGTGGGGTATAAACAAAATAAATAAACAGTACCCAGTGCCATTAGAGACAGAGTGAGATTTAGCTTTAGCCATTATGTTTATGTCTTCAGGTTATGTTTGGAGTATGAGCATAAACACACATGAAAAACAATGCCTGCTGTTTTTGCAAAATGCAGCTTGGCCACTAAGCATGACAGCATGCAGACCATACGAGCGGCAAACAGAAAACCATATGCCTGTGAAATTTTAATGAATGGAAAACAAGCCAAAGGTTAGTCCCATTTGTATAGCTTGTAGTCAGCACAAAGGAATGACTTCCTTATTGATCTTGTACCGTGATGCTGCCTCTTGCCTCCATTTTGACTGAGAGCTTGCGGGTGCCTTGAGCAGTCCTCACCCTAACATACAGATTTAACCACTACTCAGCTTTCAACCTAAGGCAGGCATGTGCCAAACAACCTCTGAAACACATTCACTTAGAAAGAGGCTGCGAGACAAACATTAGCTTTTAAACTTTAAAAAAAAATGATGACTTTCTTGCTCAGTTTAAACATTTCAGAACAATGTATGCACCAAACATTACTTCAATCGATTTTCAGCATAACTTATGAACTTGTTTCTTTAATAATCGTTTATATTCTACAGCCCTAATTAGGTTTGCCTTAGTAGTATTTGAACAGCTTGCAATACATGTGCATACTTACTCAAATACCCCTAAGTTCCACAGAACTGACTCCCAAATAAATATGCACAGAATTTCAGTCTTCATGTGTGAAGCTCCCTTGCCCCAAAGCAGGCCCGTAGCTACCGCGGGGCCCACCGGCCCTGGCCCCCTAGCGGTTTTTATGGGACTCTCCCTAGGGTTGCCAAGTCAATATTTCTTACCGGCAGGGGAGCCTCGCTGGGCTCCGGGAGCAGTTTGTCGATGCGTGTGCGCCACCAGCACGTCACCGGAAGTGACACGCGACGTCGATCATGTTGAAGGCGTGGCCCCGATCGTCGGAGGGAAAAGCATAGTTTTCCCTCAGACGATCGAGGCCACACCCCCAACGTGATTGATGTGGTTGCATCACCTCTGGTGACGCAGCCACGCTGCGCTTCGGGGGGCGGAGTTCCCCCTGGGGCCCAATTCCGCGGCGACGGGAATCGGGCCTCCGAAGCGGGGGTTTACCCGCCCCCCACCCCCACTTGGCAGCCCTACCCCTCGCTGAGCCTCAGCTCCCCCTCACCCTGGGCCACCTCACCCAATTGCCTCTCGGCAGGGAGGACGAGGGTAGCACAAGCAGCAGCAGCAAGGTTGGGGAGGGCTGAGAGAGTGGCCTGGGCAGGCAGTGAGTGTTAATGGCATGGGGAAAAGCCTCCATCTCGGGCTTCCACCAGACGCTCGCTGCACTGCCTATCAGCAGCAGGTAAGCCCAGTCAGGCCAGGCAAGGCAAGGCAGCAGGCAGCTGCCTCCTCTGGCCCCGGCCAGGTACACCCGGCTGTGCTCCGGTGTGCCGAGCCTGTGCACGGCACCTCCGTGGCCAGCCCGGCCGCTGCTCACCTCGCCTCTCCCAGCCCTGGGAGGGAGAAGAGGTTGGAGGTCAGGCTGCCCCTGGTGCTGTGCCATGGGAAGAAGAACTGGAGCTCCTCAGGGAAGGAGGGAGCCGGATGCTCTGCAGGGAAGGCCTGCCCTTGCTGGGAGGGGGAGCTGTGGCCGCTGGGCATTACCCCCCCTTGTCCTGGAGCCTGGGGGGGGTGTACAGGGCTGCATTAGGAGTGCTAAGGAGATCTACCAATTAAATCAAAGTTAATTTAATTAGCTTTGATTTAATCGGCTGGTGAGCCCCCTCAAGGCTCCCTCCCCCCAAAATCCCTGGCTACGGGGCTGCCCCAAAGTATGATCAGTACTAACAAACACAACATCAGTGATCAGCTCTTAGGAAGGTGGATGGGAAGAGGAAAGCTGGATAGAATGTGGCCCATTTCTGCTCCTCCCACTTCACTGGTGAACAGGTGATCAGGGCAGGCAAAGCTAATAGCGCTAACCACATCGTGATACATGTGCGGATCAGAGGCATTGTGTATGCAGCTCCATGTCAAATCGGACCCTCTCCTCAAAGCGGACACTGCTTTCCCCATCAGCGATGAAGTCAACCGGTGAGCATAAATCTGTTTCTGAACGGGGGCTGGTTCCTCTAAATCACAGCACCCAACTAAAGAGCAAACAACGGTACAGCTGAATATACGCCAGGCTCTGGTTGTCCTCTGGAAACACTCAAAATACTGATACAGCAGAGGAATAATACTAAGCACAATTAATCACACCTAACACACAACAGAAAACTGAAGATTTATTTCACGTGTGGCATGTGTGCTGACAATTGCTAGAAAAGTCTAACTTGCAAAATCATAATCGCCATATAGGCCCCTTCTAAGTGGATTACTGACCAATGTTTCAAAATTTATTTTAACTGCTGTGATAAACAGACCAATATACTAAGAAGAGCTGCAGTCTGCATCTTTACCTGTGAGCCGGAATTCTGCGATCGGCTGCAACTAATACCACATCGCACAACTGCTTGTGTCTCAGGTAATTTTCCATCTTTTTAAAGGTTTGCTCCGCATGATTGAGTGCCTGGAAAAATTCATCAGATGTACAAGGCTCCATAGTATGACAGGATGACAGAGTCTGGCTGCTATTGGAAGTCCTGTAATGACGACAATATAGATCTACGTTAAACATCTTCATATGCCCATCTTCACACACAAAAATATTTTAACAGGTATCTGCATTATGCACAAAACGGGGAGTTGTATGGTGCCAGTATTTCCCCCCACAGGGTTCATAGCTACTGTGGGGGAATAAGCTTAGACTAGGAAATAGCATGGAGAAAAGGGTTAAAATCAGGGGTCTTGTTGTAGAAAAAGAGCTGCCGGAGCTCATTAGCATAACTCATTAGCATAACTTATTTGCATATGCCACGCCCCCTGACATCACCGGAAGTGACAGAAGGCCACACCCCCTGACATCACTGGAAGTGTGTCAGAAGGCCCGGCTACTTACCCTCCTGCTTCATCCTCATTCCCAAACGGAATGAGGATCGAAGCAGAGGGCGGGGTAAAGAAGGGGGCGGGGCTTCACCACGTGACCGCCCCGCCCCCTAGAGGTTCTCTTCCGGAGCTCCGTACCTGAGAGCTCCCCCCCGACTAGAGCCCTGGTTAAAATATTCCTTTCCCCAATTCTGTTTCCTGATTAACATATCCCAGTCACAGATCTTCTGCATCACACCTGCACTATTATGTGGAGTACTTATAACTCAGACTGAACAATAAAACAAACATTTTTAAAATAGCTCTTGTGCGCCTTTCTTCTCAATGTGATACTATTTTCTTCAACAATAAAAAAATCGATATAGAAGCCAGACGAATCAAATTAAGTGCAGAAGCCAGATGAATTAAATTAAGTGATTAAAGTACAAAACTTCAAAGAGATCTGTATAAACCGGCCCCATAGCCAGGAATTCTTCAGGGGGCGGCGGGGTATGGCACTGCCACTAATTAAATTACATGCATTAAATTGTTTAGAATGTTCCATGCCCTCCAGAAGATTCGCTGGCAGCTTTCTCTCCCCCCCCCCACCTCAAGTTCCTCACCGAGCCTCTCCAACTCCTGATCGCTGATCCCTCCGGGGGCTATTCTACAGATTTCCCCCACACCACCAGTCATCCTTAGGCTGACCTGCAGGCATTTGGGGCTACCCAGGCCGGGAATAGGACAGCAGGTCCTGCACGGATTTCGCTGTACCACCACCTACCCCTCCACCCTCAAACTTCCCAGTGGTCTGGGCTGTGCTTCTGCAGCCATTTGGGGCTACCTTGCCTGGGAGTAGGAGCTTCTTGGCGGGCCGGCATTGCTTAAGCCACGCTGCTGCCAGCTTGAAGCGATTTCGTTCCTACTTCCAGGCCACATGCCTGCTCCTGCTGCCGGGGTAAGGGGTGAGAGGAGGAGGGTTAGAGAGCAATTGCTTCGGGCCAGTGGTGGCCCGAGCAGTACCAGGCCTGCCAAACTGAAGAATGGGGAAACTTGGGGTGGGGGCGCTGCAGATTTGAAAGGAGGCGCAGCCCCATGTGCCCCACTCCTGGCTACAGCCCTGGTACAAATAAGCCCAGATTGGCTGATAGGAGTACGCAAAACGGAAATAACTCTGCAATACCAACAAGGCACTGAAGTACAAGTGCAGTTTTACGAGCTTTAGATATCACCCTGAAGTTGATGACTAGAGTACCATACTAATGGATATTTTGTGCCTGGGAAAGTGGTTAATTGTTCAGCAAAGATGCAATTAATGGCACTGGCATTTATGTGATCATAATTAGGTTTCAGAATTAACAGCCTATTAAAAAGATGTATAGGTGAATGAAAGAAGGAAAGCGGCATTGACCTCTACGCTTACCTTCCTGAGCGGCAGAGCAGCAGGTGGTTCAGACAGACCTGTTACAACCAAGGCTGCCGCCGGTGAGTCAGGACATCTCACCCTTCCAGAGGTCTAGAATACCCCAAACCAATTTGTTACCTGGTGATGGCTCACAATCCTTCTAAGTAAAAATTGCATGATACTTCCAAGTGCCTGGGGAAACAATGTATGTCTTCATCAGCAACTGAACAAAGTCTGAGTCCAGTGGCACCTTTAAGACCGACAAAGTTTAATTCTGGGTATAAGCTTCCGTGTGCATGCAGACTTTGTTCTACTGCTTCAGACCAACATGGCTGACCCCTTGAATCTGTTTTCATCAGCAACTGTTAGTGCTTTTCTTTACAGGCCTGCTTCTCAGTTTGAAACCTCGGCCCGGAATCTAAATACACACCCAGCATCTTGTGCCCAGCAGGGCTTCTGTTTAGTCTCTTGTTCTTAAGAGCAGCCCCTGTAGAGACTGTCAAGCTGTTCCCAAAGCTCAGGGGAACTACACAGACACCCTCCAACACTGAACGGCTCTCAGGGGAAAGAAATGGAAACGCATCACTGGTGTGTGCAGATTTTCCCACATCCAAAATGGCTCTTTCATTCTCAGCTCTGGACTGAAAACTCAATTTGCTTTCCAACAGTTCTGGCAAATTTGTAACTTTTGTGTCCGCACGTAAATGTAGAAATAACTCAATACCTAAGTTTTTGCATTTCTGATACCCACATTTTATTGACGTATGGTCAATACAACCACATGACAGTTGCAGACCTCCTATAAAGCAAAGGTCAAACAAAAGGTCAAGGCCACAAAAGATATTTAAAAACCCAGCTGCTATTAACTGAAGACCATTCTTGTTGACAAACATAATCCCATGCCGTTATTTGCAGAAGAGCCCACTTAGAAGAAGAGATTGGATTTATACCCCACCCTTCACTTGGAGTCTCAGAGCGGCCTACATACTCCTTTCCCTTCTCCTCCCCACAACAGACACCCTGTGAGGTAGGTCGGGCTGAGAGAGCTCTTTCCAGAATTGTCCTTGAGAACAGCTCTGACAGAACTATGGCTTGCCCAAGGTCATCCAGCTGCTGCAAGTGGAGGAGTGGGGAATCAAACCTGGCTCTCTCAGATTAGAGTCCGCACACTTAACCACTACACCAAACTGGCTCTTTTAGCACAAATGACACAACGTTATTTGTTCATTTAATTTGATTTTAAACTGCCCTCCCTGCGAACGGGCTCAAGGCTGTGAACAACATTTTAAATAACTACATCCCAATTAATTAAAAACAATTAAACAGTTGAAATCAGATTACAGTAATTCAGATCAAGATTTCCAGAGGTTGCATAACATACGTTAATTTGTATATTCCTACCCCATAGGGGAAGGAAAAGGAGAGGAGAGGAGGAGCCAACCATGTGAAAAACTGTTGCTGTCCTCAACCACAGGCCTGGTGGAACATCTAGGTCTTGCACACCCTGCAAAACTGAACTAAATCTCGCAGGGCACGGACCTCACTTGGCAGAGAGTTTCACCAGGCCAGTGCCAGGTTTGAAAAAGCCCTGGCTCTGGCTGAGGACAGCTGGATAGTTTTCGGGCCAAGGATCACCAGTAGGTTCTGATCTGTTGAATGCTATGTTCTTCGGGGGACATACCAGGAGAGACGGTCTCTTTCCTCCACAGATATAAAGGATAGTATTGCTGCTATTGTTGCCTCAAAACACATCTGAGTAGATTGCATGCTCCAGCACTGAAGAAGGGGAGGAATTCATAATGCTGACGTGAAGGACACTATGCTCCCCATTTTTGATAGAGTTCAGCTGATTCAGTTAAAAGTCTTGGGGTTACACTGGATCCAACGTCATTACTGAACAGGCAAGTTAATGCAGATGCAAAGAAATTCTTTCCTTCACTTCAGCCTAGCCTGTAAGATGGCCCCTTACCTTGATATGGCTGATATGGCTACCTGGATCCATGACACAGTAACATCAAGACCAGACTACTGTAATGCACTGTACATTGGTCTCCCCTTAAAATCAATGTGGAAACTCCAGTTGGTGCAGGATGCTGTGGTTCGACTAGGAGCTAGGTGGAGTGTGCATATTTCTCTTATTCTGCCATCACTCCATTGGCCACCCATTAACTAAGGGGTTCAATTTAAGACAATGGCCATCCCATACACAGTCCTTCAAGGGCTTGGCCCCTCATATCTCCAGGACCGCCTCTCGCCCTGTGCTCTGCCATGACAGCTAAGCTCACCTGAGCAGGCCCTTCTTCAGGTGCCAACCTGCACATGGGCAAAATCAAGAACAGCCCAAATATGTGCTTCCTCCCGCTGTTGCCCCCACCTTATGGAATGGCCGCCCTGAGGGAATCAGGAAGGCCCCCAACTCTCCTGGCTTTCTGCAGACTATGCAAAACTGAATTATTCAAGAGGGTTTTTCTACCAGATAACAGGGTTGCACTGTATGAAATAGTTTACAACGTTACTGAAGGATCCTACTATGTAATTTTGCAAAAAAATTCTTTCCTTCACTTCAGCCTAACCGGTGTAATTTTGCACCGGTTGATGAAGTTAATACTTATGCTTTGCTTCGGTTATGTTTTTGGATGTCTGGGGGGGTTCCAGACTTCTACAATCCTAATCCTAATTAATTGTTTATTGAATGTCCCATTCTATTTATTTGACTGACTCACGCTGAGTCATCTGCCTTGAATCCCAGTGAGAAAGGTGGACTATAAATAAATAAATTAATTAATTAAATGAAATAAGGCAAAACAGAAAATTAAGGGAAATGAGCCACTACTGGAAAAAGAAATTAGCCTTGCTGGAGTTCATAATTCTCAATAAGATGGCTGTGCTGCAGCAGAAGGCAAATCTACCGTAGTAATACAATTGGAAAGGGACACAACTACATTGAACCCATGAAGCTGCCTTATACTGAATCAGACCATTGGTCCAACAAGGTCAGTACTGGCAGCAGCTCTCCAGGACCTTTGGCAGAGGTCTTTCACATCACCTATTACCTGGAGATGCCATGGACTGAATCAGGGACCTTCTGCAAGGCAAGCAGATCCTCTGCCACTAACCACGGCCCCTCCCAAGTTACTTGTCTCCAATAATGCTCCAAGTACTACATCAAGAGATAATACATATGGCAACTCTACTGCTTCCAATACTCACTATTACAATGGACATGCTTGGGGGAAGGGGGAGAAGAAAATTGCATTTTTTCCCAGGGAAACT